TTACTAATTTTACGTAGTTGGAAATTGGCTTTAACTCTTCATTTTGAACATATTCCACCAATGACATCAATATCTTTTATTTAATGGATACGAAGTGCAAAACACTTTAGTTGCTTGTTTTGCTAAAACAAAAGGCTCATTACTAACTAGAATTGAGTTGAGTCTAATTTCGACCAACCCATGAACAAGATCTACTTGAAGACCTTTGTCGATATCAAACCAATGGAATTTGAATAACACGACTTGGTTGTTGACACCAAAATATTCCAACTCAATGATATCAACCAATAATCCATAAAAGTCACAATTGTAATCATTATAACAATTTTCCTTGATATCGACACCATTGTTCATTGTTTTATGATTGTGACCATAATCCAATGTGTGAAACTTGTATCCATTAACGTAATAACTTTTGAAACACATTGCCTTACGACTAGGACCGTGAGACATGTCGAAAACACAAGAATCAATTTGACTCGCATGTTGGGTGACTTACCAAAAAGTTACATGGCTTTTAATTGTTTGAAGTATTAAGTTAAAAAAATCAAATGGACTTATATATTCTTTAAACCAATGACGAAATAATGCGTCATGAACTTTTTCAAATTCCTTCTCAAAAATACCATAATGTTATTTTTTAACCATATCATTGAACATCCTAAAGATAGGAGGAACATAAATAATAAATTATTACCATTCTCTATTCACACTGTTCTAAATTATTGGTTAAACTTATACTTACTCAATGTACGGTAATATCTCATTGCAATTCATTGGTACATATAGTTTGGCAATGCAAAACTCATCCTTCTGTAGGTATAGATGTTTCTCGAATTAACCTAAAGGTCAACAGGGATAAGTGAAAATTGACAAACAACTCGTTGTATCAACTTCTTCGCTGTCATCATTCCATGAGACCAAGTTCATTACTGTTAGGATTGTAGGTTTGAACTATATCGAACAAAACGATGATATTTCGTTGATGATATATGCTTCAAAATGGATCCCTTCACAGATGCTTGATTTTTCATCCTTTTTTTCGATGATGTAAAAAACTAAAAATCAACATTCGTTTTTGGATTCCAATTGTCAAATTAATAAAAAATTTTAATTACATATATGGTTCAAAATTCCTTTCAAACGGATACATCCATCGATAATAGACCAAACCTCCAACCTTACTTTTGTATGGCAAGTGGATCAATAAATGATCCATTGAGTCCAAAAAACTAAGAAAAAAAATCTTTTCTAATTTGTAAATGGTTTCCAAGATTATTTCTTCCAATGCATTGATTTGCTCAACATAAATCATGAAAAAATTGTCAGATCTCAACAATTGCATTCCAAATAGTGTGAGGCACTATATCACCCTAGGTAATTAGGAGCAAACATTACAGGAAAACGTGATAATCATAACTTTTTTGCATTCTTACTTATTCACACACTTTGTTATGTTAAAGGCAAAACCATCTGGTAATCGTATTTGTTTCACCCAAGTGCACACACTTTCCATTGCTTTTTAGTCAAGGTGTATGAGGCTTTAGGTTTAAAAAATTTACCATTATTTGCAATTAAGTGCAATTCCAACTGCCTACAATACACCTTCGAATCACGAAAATCCTTGATATTGTCTTTCATCTTTTCTAGAACATCCATCATCATGTTGAATTCATTGTCAAATACGTTACATTCAATATGCATCACATCCAAGTTGTGACAAATGAGATTCGTATGCCAATACGATTACTCCCAAAATGTGCTTTTCTTAGCCCAATTATGGGTTTGACCAAAACTTGGTAGCTTTTGGTTGTCCATTTTTGTCTCACACGTGATATTTGGAATTGACTCCAATTGTTACAAAATCATCGAGGAATTGGAGGGTTTTGTTCAACATATTTCTTAAATTTTATCTCTTTGGTGACAAAAAGGATGATCCATCAGTAAGAATTACCGATAACAATAACATAACAAGGCTTTTTCTCATACTCCAAGAAAAAACCTTTTCCATGTTCCATGCAATATGGACATGATAAATGTCCATGAGGGCTCCGCGTGGAGAACATACCATATGCAGGAAAGTCATTAATGGTCCATAAAAGTGCTGCTCGTAGAATAAAATTTTGGTGAAGAAATGCATCGTACATCTTAAAGAACTTTTAACTCATCTATCAATGGTCGGAGAAACACATTAGTGTTTCGTGCGGGACTTGTCCTCCTAAGGATGACCATACTAAGAAAGATGTAGGGTTGCTTTATGCACATCCATGGAAGTAAGTTACAGAAAATGAACATTATTGGCCAAATAGAATACGATTTTGCTATTGGCCTAAATGGATTGAAACCATTTGAACATAAACAGAATCTAACATTACGAGGCTTAAGATAACAGACTGATGGGTTTGATTAAAATGTTGCCAAACATCACAATCAATAGGATACCTAAGCACTCCATTATTAGATTGGTAAGGACATTTGATCTTATTCTTAGTCACATACTTGGTTGATTGAACGCAAATGAAATAAATTCATCTACACCATTCATAAATTTTGTCCTAAGAAATCCACTTGGGATTACATCCAATTGCCATTTCATTCCATTCTGAGAAAAATATTATAAAAGACATATGATGTTGTCCATTAGTAGATAATAACACAAACATCAATCGAAAACCAAAACCAACTTAAATACAAGAATTAATTGATTCCATAATATTATTAATTTCTTAAAATAAATAAAATATTACATACTATTATTAATTTAATTAA